TAGCCCAGGGCCAATCTTCCTCAGCAAAAAGAGGAGGATTGGCAACAGATGTTAGCTCAGGGCTAATCTTCCTCACAAAAGAAAACTAAAAAGATATTCATAATATGTAACTGAAAATAACTATTTATAAAATAGTAGTGTGACTCAATTTTTATACAAAATACACATAAAATTGTTCACACACAAGCAGAAAAGACTCCAAAGGCTATGTACCAAAATACAGACAATAATTATCTCTAAGTACATTATATTATAAACATTCTATATATTCTTTATGCTGATGTATTTTTCTATAATGAATGTATTTAATTCATATTGCATTTAAAATAAGAAAACAAAAATCATCTTTTTTGTGAAGGGGGTTTGGGAGGGCTATAAGAATAAAAAATAAAAATCAGTCAAAATGTCCTTACATATCTTCCAAAGCTTAGGCCACAAAATACCTGTATTCCATATACTCAAGTTTTAATAAATCTTTCAAACAGCCTTTATGTCCTCAAACATAAAAATCCCTATGTTAGACAAAGGCAGGCTATAGGCTTTTCATTCCAACCAAACCCCACCAAGTAGTTTCTGATGGAGCCTCTGATTCACTAGACTGCTACAGAGAAAGGCTTCTCATAGGTTGACACCAACTCTAGCACAATAATACGCTTTTCATATACTCATTCACTCATTCATAACATTAACCAAATACCTACCGTGAGCAAAGCATTACACAGTGTGCCTCACAAGCTAGAGATTGATTAACACATGATTGTCTCAAGTAGCATACAACCAGTGGGGAAATAGTGCAGATATGACAGAGGAGGAGGAGCACTGAGAGGAGACAGTATGGAGAGCACTGATAATACTTCGCATTTGTAGACAAATATTTTCAAACAAATCAACAGATATTTGGAAATGTATAGGTAAAAATGAAGTACTATCTTTTTCAGCTTTCATTCACGTTTGGACTCTGAAAGCAATTATCCCTACCAATTATTTGCCACGAAATCATACGCTAGGTCCTCCTATATTATTACATAACTTGTCACATAGGAATATTTTAGTCTCTATTTGAAGGCAGACATTTTTGTACCCCCCCACAGTGTATCATACACAGAACAGACACTATAAATATTTCCAAAACGTACAAACTGAGTCAGCTGCTAGAGCTCCCCACAGTAGCCTGCCTCATTGTATCAGATGAAAGCATCCCACAGACATGGCGCACAGAAGCCCAGCCAAGGCTCGACCTAATGTAGAATATTTTTCCCTTTTAATTCCAGAGCAATGAAAAGCTTGGCAAGGCAGAAATAGAGAAAAGCTCAAAGAAGACAAAACAAGCATTTATAAGCAAAATCACTTCATATTAAGAAAGTCTGAGTTTTATTTAGCATTGTATCTGAGGCACTAATGAGAGTAAAGGAAGAAAACAAAGATCAATCCCACATTCAATTTTAAGGAGTCTTGCAATAATGAAAGCACACAGACTGTAACAAATCTTGAAAGTATGAAATGCTTTATGTTTACAATACATAAAATATGCTATGGGACTTCCTATCAAAAGGAGACAGTCTGAATATCTGCAAAGTCTTTCCAATCTGAAGACTCCAACACATGTTGTACTGCTGGTTTTCCCAATTCCAACCTAGAACTCTACAGACAAAACAAACAATATAGAAAGCTTTTCCGGGCAAAGGGCCTCTGAGGCAGTGTGATGTCGGCCCTGAGAAACAAGTCAACTGGTCTAGTGTTCAAGCAACATAATGCTACCAAAAAGCTGAAAGCCTTAGCATTTACATCTCAGACTATGTCAAGGAGACAATTCTCTTCAAGCTACAATTTCATGATTATATAGAAAATCACTGTTCTTCAAACAGCAAATTCATACTACACTACTAAGTATTTTAAAATGATTTTTACCTCTTTGTGAAGAAGGGGCCAAAATAACAATCAGGATTTTTAGAAATGAGAAAGGAAGTTCACTCAAGGTTAATAAAATTAATCAGTGACCCAACTATATGTACCCTCAAAACCATTAGTTCTGTCCAGGCTGCCAGGATAAATAAATTAATTAAAAAATTAGAAGCTTATATACAAGAAGACATTTTTACAACTACAGACATCAAAAAAAGAAAAAGAGCTTTAGACATGTATTTCTTTAGAAGAGCCTTCCTTGAAACTGTTTACTACAATTATTATATAAGCAAAGTAAGACTTGCAAGGAAAAACAACCTAAAAATTGGCATTAAATCTGCTTAATATCTTTAATAATTCTATTATTTCTAAATCCTTCCACAAAAGGGCATTACAGCTCTTCAGTTTATTGCAAACTTATCTTTAAAAAAAAAGTCAGCCCTAATGTTGAAGCTATAATACAAAATTTTAACTATTAGCACTATACTATAAAGCACAATGAAGAACATTTTATTTAAATAAAACAAGGATAGTATTTCACTGGGGCATATATCCAATAGATTTTTTTCCTCCATATCTACACCCAATGGTGATATTTTATAGGCTAATTTCTAAACAAATGAAAATTAAAAAAAAAAGTAATGAAAGCCATGTTTTGTTCAGGAATACTATTGTACACATCCCATATAGGTTGTTTTACAGCAGATACTAGTTTGCCAAGCTTCAGACAGCAAAATGCTAAGTTGTGAGTTTGGTATTGTCCAGCTAGTTGTCTCTTGTTGCCCTGGAGAACCTGGCAGCGCGTAATGCTGAGAGACCACCTTGTTGCCACCACTTCTCTTCTCACAGGAGACTCCACTGTGGTAGAACATTCATATCCTTAGGATGCAAGGCCTAGCAAAAAGCCTCCCACAAATCCACTGGATATCACAATGTTCTGTTTGATAAATTCTGTTGCCTGAAACATAAAGTAAGTTTAAACAAAAATACTCTTAATTATGCTACAACATGAATGAACCTTGAAAACATTACACTAAGTGAAATAGGAGACAAAAAAAAGACCAATACTGTATGATTCCACTTACATGAACAGTCAAATTCATTGAGAAAGAAAGTAGAACAGAGGTTACCAAGGGTTGGGGAGAGGGGTTAATTGTGGAAGTTATTGCTTAAAGGTTAGAGCTTCTATTTGGGATGATAAAAAAGTTCTTGAAATAGACAGTGGTAATGGTTGCACAAAAGCGTGAATGTACTTAATGCCACTGAATTGTGCACTTAAAAATAGTTAAAATGGTAAATTTTGTTATATATATTTTATCACAATAAGAAAAATAGACACAAATTTTAAAAAATACTCCTAATTATTGAATCTGGAGCTAAGTAATGTTTTCAGCTGTTTTTCTCAGTTCAACAAATATTCAGCAAAAATTTTTGTGCACCAACTATTGCAGGTGCCAACCACCATGCAAATGCCAGGGCTGTCCATTACAGACCGAAGGAGCCTAGAGCCCCCAGCCAGACCCAGTGAACTTCGTGGCTACTGAGATAACAGGTATATGAGCAGCAATAATCTCTCAGGTAAAAAGAAATCTACTCAGAGGGCAGGCATAAATGGTCCACTCAGCAAGTTATTAACATAGATTATTTAACAAATTCTCACAACATGCACAATGATATTTATTAATAGTCTACTTACCCAGTAAGAAAAAATATACAGGATCAAAAAAAATCACCTTGATAAAATGTTTAACCCAAATAAAATTATGAAGAAGCAATTACAGCCAGACTGTGGGATATTCTGCCTAGATGCTTCAAAAATGTCAGTGTCATGAAAGACAGGAAAAAAAAAAAAAACCCAGATGAGGGGACTGTTTAAGATTAAAGGAGACTTCAGAGACATGACAACCACATGCAATATATAATTCTTGATTGGGGAAAAAAAGCTATAAAAGATATTTTCTGGAAAAATTTTAATACAGACTGTATATCAGGAAATATTATTGTATCATGTTAAATTTTGGGGGATTAATAGCGTAATTGTAGTTGTATAGGAGAATACCCGTACTCTTGGGAAATATGCATTAAAGTATTTAAAAGTGAAAATCATGACGTCTTAAACAGTTTGGCAAAAAAAAAAAGTGTAAATCTCACACACACTCACTCACACACACAGGGATAAAGCAAATGATACAAAATGTGAATGAACTGGTGAATAGGTGAAGGGTATTTGGGTGTTCCCTGTATTTATCTTTCAACTTTTCAACTGATTCAAAATTTTTCAAAATAAAAAGTTGGGGCAAGTAAAAGGATAGCACAAAAACAAAGGCAAGAGAGTATTTGATTCAGTTCAATTCAACACAGAGTATAAGAAGAAAATAGATTAAATACACATAAAAAATATTAATAAAACTAATATAGTAATAAAATATACACATTTTCATACTATTCCATCTCAAGAAAAGAATAAGTAGTTTTAGTTTTACCACACCTTGTCTACATATGCACCCATTTGTAAAAGCAGAGAAAAAATTCTGGAAGAATACGGTCATGTGTCGCTTAATGATGGGGCTATGTTCTGAGAAAGGCGTTGTTGTGCGAACATGATAGCATGTACTTACACAAACCTAGATGGTATAGCCTACTACACACCTAGGCTACATGGTGCTAATCTGATGGGACCACTGTCATATTATGGAGTCCACTGTTGACCAAAACATCGTTATGCGGAGCATGACTGATGTTATCAGCTTTTACATGCAGATCAAAGTAGGTGGGAGATGGGCAGGGGAAACTATGTTAACTACTAAAAAAAATAACAACTGATTTAAATGGTGGTTTGATCCCAGATTTTACTTAACACTCTAGATATGACCAAAGACACCAATTTTTCTAAAAGAAGATAATCCCTAGTCACATTTTCTGCTAAGTGAGACCCATTTAAAAAAAAGGGGGGAGCCAAAAATGTACACTGTCTTACTTCTTCAATTATATTGTTGATTTCAGGTGCTGCCTTATTTGCTCGTTTCTTAATCTGCCTTTTTGCTTTGTTTACATCCTTTTCAACTCTCTTCCAGTCGATCTGCACATAGCCACTGTGACTGGCAATCTGCAAAAATGTAATAAAAATGGTTACTTCTAAACCACCAGGTTTGCTAACAAATCTATTACCCAGGAATATATGAACATTCAGATTTCAAGACATTTATGAAGTTTATAGGTAAGAAATCACAATTTACTCACTAATTTATTCACTGAACAGATACTGAGTTCCTACTCTGTGCCAAGCACTATTCTAGACTCCCAAGCTATAGCCAGGAACAAGGGAGACAAAAGTCCCCACTCTCAGAGAGCTTCAAGTCTGTTAGGGAAAACAGACATTAAGCATAAATAATTATTTAGATATGATGAAGACTATGTTAAGAAAAGCATAGTACACGATGGGAAAAGATTCCAAAAACTGTACTACAACTGGACTATAATTCTATCATAACTTTTGGAATTTGGGAATTAACTAAAAAGACACAGGGACTATCACAATTATACAGCTAATAAAAAAGTACCTTTTAATTAAATAGATATTTAATTACAAGGGATCAGAAGCCAACCAGTTATTAGGTCACTAAAGAAATCTAAAGTAGCAGATTAAGGCTCTTCACTAACTCTGACTCTACTTAAATTAAGAATACTTTCTGGTAATTGCTTTCGAAAGTGGAATATAAAAGAAATATGCCCTACACAACATTCATGCCATAAATCCTTTTAATAAAACTAGAGCTAAATACCTATTAACCATAAGAAAAATTCTCATATAGTGCTACTGAGACACTGCAAAATGTAAACAGGAATAACAGTGTATGTGTAAGCCAGTACAGTAAATTAGTCCCTCCAAATAATAAAATCAAAATATAAAGAATCACGAGTAGTAAACAATCAAGCCTTGCATACCACTATAAATCACTTCTATCAAGCTTATGCTTTCTTTGTAATCTTTTAATACACCACTTTGATTATAAACCACACATATACTTCAAATAATAAAAATATCTGACTTTATATAAATAGGTGGGAATCTTAGGTTCCATTTTCACTGTGAATGACTCCATAGAAGAATTTATTTATCTGCATTTCTTCCTGTGTTTATTCACGTACTATCACTTCAAACTCTGGCCTCAGCAAAACAGAGTGGTGATCAAATCAAATGGCAAGTGAAAGCTTTTCCTGGTAGTACCTGACATGATAATATGGGTCAAAGGCGCGGAGGTAATGATGAACCTCAGAGACCTTCCTACAGATAGCAACTATAAACCCTGGTTAAAATACAAGGGCTCTACAATTAAAAAAGCAAGCAGATTTTGAAGGGTAGTTGAAACTTGTAGGAAGGGACCAATAAAAGGCAAGTTGCCGATTTTTCTGGCTTTATCCTGAGGGGAGGATGCAGTTGTACGGTGGCTAAAACTAATAGAAAACATGCCATCTTTCCTGCCTGAAGAGCCAGAGGACAGAGTTCAGGACAATAACAGCTGCCAGAAAGGAGAGAGCTACAGAAGGGGAGCCCAAGTCCTGAACCACACATTCATGGGGCAGAACCAAGCATTCTGGCTAAGGCTAAAAGAAATGAACTGAAATTTGAGCTGCTACCCACCACAAGTGAAAGAGTTTGCAATTCGCGTCTAATCAAGTTAACTGCCTGTTAAAATCAAAACATCAACACACTTCAGAAGAATAAAACAGAATCCAGAGCCTCCACAACAAAACATTTTCAATGCCCAGGATAAAATCTAAAGTTATTTGATATATGATAAAACAGGAAAATGTGGCCTAGTCTCAAAAGAAAATCAATAGATGCCAACCCTGAGACACTCCAGATACTGGAATTATCAGGACTTTAAAGCAGCTATTATAGCTATGCTCAATGAGGTAAAGGAAACTGCTTGTCATCAATGAAAAGAAATCTTGCCAGAGACATAGGAAATATAATAAGAACAAAATGGAAATTACAGAATTGGAAAATACAGTATCTGAAATAAATTTATTGGATAGGCTTAATGGCAGAAGGTAGATGACAGAGGAAAGAGTCAGCGAACTTGAAGCTGTATCACTAGAAATTATACAACCTGAAAAAATAAATGAACAAAACCTCAGGACATTATCAAAAAGCCTAATATGCACATAGAGTTACATTCAGAAGAGAGAAAAAATAGAAAGGAACAGGGGCTGGCCCCGTGGCGTAGCGGTTAAGTGCGCATGATCCGCTGCTGGCAGCCAGGGTTCGGATCCCGGGCGCGCACCGACGCACCGCTTGTCAGGCCATGCTGTGTTGGTGTCCCATATAAAGTGGAGGAAGATGGGCACGGATGTTAGCCCAGGGCCAGTCTTTCTCCGCAAAAAGAGGAGGATTGGCGTGGATGTTTGCTCAGGGCTAATCTTCCTCACAAAAAAAATAGAAAAGAATAAATATTTAACGAAATAATGGCCAAAACCTTCCCAAATATGATTTACATAAATTTACACATTCAAAGAGCTCAGTGAACTCCAGGTAATGATCTGACACAATTATGAAATAACAACACTCAGATGATGCGAGGGGTGAGGGGAAGCATGCAAGTGTGTGAGATGGGAAGGGGGGACAGAGAGTTCAATAAATGAGAGCTAAATTCTCATATTCCATAATGAGAAGCCAATTAATTTGTTTAGAATAAAGGAGATAAATACCTTAAGAATCAGCTAAGAGTTCAAACACGGGGGTAGTGATAGAGGCAGAAGATTAATCTGTAACAAGCCTTGTATGTGTATTTGACCCTTTGGATTATGGGCATGTATAACTGAAAAAATAAAAACTGAATTTAAGATGTCAGTATGATAAATATCTACTAGAGTATTGAGTTTCTAGCAAAGTTTTAAGTAAACTAATATTTATCTTTAAATATAAGTAAATGTAACAAAAATATGGAAGTAGGCCTAACAGGCAATTATCCTAAAAGCCATTTGTTATTCTTATTTCCTCTTTCAGTTTCCTTCTACTGAGTTTTCAATGTAAGTCATATTCGTGGGAAAAATTGGTTTGATGCAGATGGGTCCCATGTTCTTCTGCTTAGTGACTTCAAAGAATATGTGGCCTAAGCATGGAGAAATAGGTGGCAATGGCAAAACGTGGATTTGATGGTGCATATTGAGTAGACTGAAATGGACTTCTGAAAAACTGACATGCAGAGTGGACTGAAATGTTATTCTCTCTATTCCATGAACATTTTAGGCAACTCTGCTTCAGTCCAGTACCCTTTTCCACTAAACGAAAGGACAAATGAGTTTTCAAAATAGCTATAGAATTAAATATGTTCTTGATTCTACATAAACCCAAGTCAAAATCAGCTTAAATAAAATTCTCTTCTGTACAAATGCTAGCATAATCATCCAAAGGACTAAATTTAGATATTAACCATATTCTTTTCTACCTCTTACCACAAGAAATAAGCAATTACTCCTATTAACGTCACCAACGGGAAGAAAATATATATATTTTAAAAAGCTATTTAGTAAACAACTCAAAATCTGTGCGTAACACATACGAATCCAGTCCCTTTGTACTTCAGGCAATGACACTGTTATTACATGATCAATGGCTTAGGTGCTGAAGTCAGATTTTGGTTGCTATGACCATCAATCATTTTTTAAATCGAGTACAACTGACAGTTCTCTGTATCTTTCAAATTATTGCTAACATTCATTCCCAGAGATTTTCAACTCGGAGATTTACTGTATTTGATCTTCAGGGAATGATATTTTTGGGAAAATATATGCCAAACAGACATGAATGCCAGAAAATATCCTGATAAACATCATCTAACAGCAAAGCATTTTTAAGCCTTATATTTAGAGGAACATGAACAAAAGTGAAATTTCAAATCTACCTGCCCCCGAAATACGATTATGGATGATATTTTAAACCCAATTTTCCACTTTCTATATTATTATGGTCCCCTAGTTTTAAAAAACACGTTAGAAATTGCTAACAGCAATTTCCCCTGGGAAGGAAAACTGCATGGCAAGGAAACGGGAAGGAAAGAGAACTTTTGAATTTTATAAACTCTGTGTGCATTTTAAATATATGTTTAAAATGTTCAGGATGAGTAAGTTATATTATTGATGAAATGTTTATCTTGCTAGGGAGATGCTTTGAGGGAAACTTAGGTAAGTAATAAAAAAAAATGAGGCACTTCGAATTTTACTAGTTGTCTTTTTAATAGCTGGGGTCAAATTTCACTTAAAGAACATAGAAGTATTTGAATTGTTGTCTTTCATAACAGATGCCAGCTTTCAAAAACTCATTTTAGTTTTTCCATAAACTTACGCCTAAAAGAAAAATTCCATCTTCTATTAAAACAGACAGGAGTACAACGGCTAAACTTGACTTTCTCAGTTCCCAAGGGTTACATATATAAGCAGAGGCAAGGACCTAAAGCTCTGACATACCTGAAGGAGAAGAAAGCCACCCCCTACTGCAGTTGCTGCAAGTTTTCCAACTTTCTGGAACAAGAATCCCGCACACCTTTAATGAAAGAAATGATAGAAGGTGAAATGACAAAAGACAAGATCAGTGATGCACTAAACTCTCTCCCTCTTCTACTTTCCATTGCTTTCCTAATAAAATCTTAATGTCTTCCAATTTCTTTTGATCATGTCCCTTACCTGCTCAGAAACCCTCCGTGTTTCCCTTCAGTTACATAGGCTAGTCAAAAGTGCACAATCTAAATTGTCTGAGATGTGCTTCAAAATGAGGGATGAAGAGAAGAGGGGAATTTATAGGAAAAAAGATTGGCTACTGCAACTGAATGTTGAGTACTCAGGGGTTCATTACACTCTTCTTCTACATTTGTATAAGTTGAAATTCCCCATAATAAAAGAGATTTGTTTTGTTTTGTTTTTTTTAATACAGTCAAGATGTTCCACACACCTTGCCGACCACCATTTACCCAAACCTTGGGCTCCAATCTGATTAGCCTCCAAATAGGTGATCAGCATAGCTCAAGCCATTAATCTCCCTGTTTCTAGGAGTTTCTACCTAGCTCTGCCGATCTAAAGCTTTTCTACCCTTTAAGGTCCAGCTGGAGTTCCACCTTCATGACTACTTGTCAGCCCACATTTCTCATGGCTTCCTTACCTATATCTAAATCTATCTATCTCTATATTTAACTTGTTTCGTCTCATCTATCCTGTAAGAATATCAACCCATACTTCTTTTGTGATTCTCTCCTTCAGTGAGCTCATATTCCCTTCAGTATTCCAAATACATAGTGTGCAAAAGAATCCAAGATTTCTAATTCTAGCCTTCTATACTGGGTTAAATACTGTCCCTCCAAAATCCATGTCCTTCCCAGAACCTCAGAACATGACCTTATTTGTAATAAGGGTCACTGCAGATGTAATTAGTTAATATGAAGCCATACTGGAGTAGGGTGGGCCCTAAATCCAATATGACTTAATCCAATATGTCATAGAGACATACAGAGGGAAGATGGCCATGTGATGATAGAGGCAGATATGTCTACAAGCCAAGGAATGGCATTCCAGGGATTGCTGGCAACCACCAGAAGCTAGGAGAAAAGCATGGAACAGATTCTCTCTCTCAGTCTCCAAGAAGGAACCAACCCTGCTGACACCTTTCAGACTTCTAGCCTCCAGACCTGTGAGAGAATAAATTTTTCTTGTTTTAAGCCACCTAGTTGTGGTACTTCGTTACAATAGCCTGAGGAAACTAATACACCTTCATAAGCGGAAATATTATATTTCCAATTACATGATGGTCTTCTTTAGCACTCAGAACCACATATTCAAAATATCCCAAAGCAGACATCTTTCCAGCCAAACCAACTGTTGCTAAGGTCCCAATTTGTAAGGGATAGCACCATTCTCTAGGCTCGCCACCTCATGTTCATCTCGGACTTTACCTTCTTCATCACCTTCGGGGTCCAACTGATCGCCAATTCTATACAGTCTATCTCCAAAACATTATTTGACTGTCTTCTTTCCATTCTCAAAGGCATCATTACCTTGCCTCCAGAACACACTAAGGGCTCTCTAGTCTTCACACCTCCTACCTCTCCTAGCAACCACCTTTCCTAATATCAATTTCTTACTTGGATCAAAAACCTATAGTTAGCTGCAGCTACGTATAATCTCCTTAGCCTCCCATTCATGTCCAGAATTGGTCTGAATTGTTAACTGGTTAGGTTAATGCCTATTAACCATTCCTCCTTAACGTACGCCACAATACTACATCAGTTTTACACACTAAGAAAATTGCAAAAATTTACTACACTGAATCTAAAGTCACTGCAACAAATCACCTGTGTAATATTAGTCCTATTACACAGCTCCTGGGCTGACACCTGGCTGTAAAGCAAACACATGTATTACGATAAAGACTATGTCCCTCAGTAGGGGAGTCAGCAACAAAGGCTCAGAAAGGGAGCCAGGTCTCAACAATATCCCAGGGAGCTGCTCCACAAGCATGTCCATCCTTTGCTTAATGGCATGCGTCACTACAATAAACCTACTAACTCCCCCTGCTCTGTCTCTAGGCTTTCCAAGCAAACTTCTGCCAAATATGGGGCTTCTCCCTGAGTCTGGCCTACAAGGAGAAAATACACAATGATTTGATAATTCTACTGCTCAATAATTTTTTAGTCTCTTTTCAGATGGGACTTTAGGCCCAGACTCACATTAACCAATCACCCACGGCACCAACTTGTGAGCTTATTTAAGCAGAGGGCCAGACCCTGAACTATGATAATCAAGGTACAACCAACCTGAGGAGAATCATCTTAACAACCAGGGCCCCGACCAGGCATCTCTCTTCTAATTGCAGTCTTTTGCATAAGCAGCATTAATAAGTACACATCATGAGTAAATACTATACCTCTGCATCACAGAATCTTCACAATGAGTGTTTCTACCATAAAATGGTATTTACAAAAAGGCATAGAGGAGCGCACCATTGTTCCAAGGTGCATGTAAAACACAAATCAAAAAAGTTAATACTTATGAAGTTTAAATATGTAAATTAAATTAAATTTAAATAATGTAAGATGAATTTAACTTAGAATCTAAGAAAAAAAATGGTTCTTCACAAGTTAAGCACCCACAGTAATTTCAAAAATTCTCTACAGTCATGAACATTTTCAAAATAAATGGTCAAACTTATTTCTAACCCTTATTTGGCTAATCTTTTATTCCAAGAAAGCAATTATGTAATCGTGATCTGAAACGTTAACTGGTTAGTTAAGGTTAATACTTATTAACTGCTCCTCCTTAATGTACTCCACATTATTATTACAGTGTAAGCAATCAGTTCTTTATTAAAACAAAGACCCAATGTTCTACAACTCTTCTTCAAAGTATTATAATCTAAATTACCCAGAAAAATCAACAGAATCATCTGTATCATAATGAGAATTTTACATGACTCTCTACAAGGCTGAAAATCCTGGAGACCAGTTCTACTGTGGGAGTTCTCACAGGTTTTTCCAGTTATTGGCACTGAACAAGTAGAATGACTTACATATAATTAACTCTTATATGTTTCTTCCTCTTTACCCACTATTACTGAATCAGATCCACTACATCTGCTCAATCTGAGAAGGGAGAAAATACATAAAGAATCAAAGGAAGGGTGAGGAGGGAACAGTGGAACAGTGTAGGCATGGAGTAGGCAGATCACCAAAACTCAACACTGAGTCCCTGAGTGTAGATCACACCAGTCATATCACAGAGAAAAGCCTCAAGGTAGAGCTCTTCTGGGATTAACAGAGTAAAGCCATTGAGGGTGCACAGTAACTGGCCCATGTACAAAGGGCAGCAGTCAGGCTCCCAATGAAATTTAACGAAAAACATGTTGTTCTCACCAGCCAGTCACTCCACCCATTACAATCTGGGTGGCTACTGAGTATTTTTCTACCATAGGTCCGGAACTGTGGCCAAACACTCGATTCCACCAATGGTGTCTTCTCGCATACTCAGTTAAATCCAACACTTCGTAAGAGTCATCATCACTTTCATATTCTTCAAAATACAAAATGGAAAAAATAAATTTAGAGTCAACCAAGTCAGAAATGTCCTACACATTTTTATCTGTTATAACTCACTGTTACGTTTGGCCTACAGCTAAAAATGCCCAGATGGAAATATTAAGAATGTTAAACCCAATCCCTGAGACTAGGGCCTCAAGAGTCAAGAGCCTGGCATCTCCTTTCCAAAGTCTCAGGGCCCAGCCTGCGGGTCTGAGCCAGGAACAAGTCAGAGTTACACAGCAGCGAGGGGTCACCCCCCAAATCTGTTAGGGTCAGGTCAGTAACACAGCAGGAAGGGTCACCCCCAAATCTCAGTAGGGTCAGGGCAAGAGCTGGGCCCATTTTCATCAGTGGGATAAAGAGGAGGTCCTCTTCTTAAAGAATCGGTTAGGGGCCCGGCAAGAAGAAACTACTTCGGAGTCAAGACTACAAAAAAAAGGCATTTGAAGATGGAAATGAACGGCCAGGGCCAGAGATGAAGCTAAGGCAGGAGGTGGGGCTGTGATGGGGGCGGAGGTCGCTCTTCGTCTGCGCTCTGCCCAGAGGGGAGGGAGAGTCTAGTTCGGAGGAAGTGCTCAAAGGGGCTGCCTCAAAAAAACAGCCCCAGGAACCCTGGGGCCGGGGAAGGAAAAGCCGCCCCGGGTACAAGGTCGAGAGCTGTGAGCCGCGTCTGAGATCCTACTTCGGGCCCCGGCCGCTCACCTTGGGGAGGGGGGTTCCGGGTTGCCATGATACCGCCAGCGGCCTGCTCTGAAGATGGTCCCCGCCCGCCCTTCTCTCCCTACTCTTTTAAGAGCCGCTCTAGGCCCAGGTGGAAGTCTATGGTCTCTTTTTTCCTCCTCCTCCTCCGGGCACGTTGTCCTGGCCCCGCCCCCTCCTCTCCGCGCAGGGTCTTCTGCGCAAGCGCAAGGTGGGGGGGGGGGTCGGATAGCAGCCCCACGAGGGCTTGTGGGAGTTGTAGTCCGTTGCCCCCTGCAACGGTTGCTTCCAACCCCAACCCCACCTGGAATTTCCATAACCTAAATTTTGTTACTCTATTTTGTTTTAAAGCTCTTGAGGGCTGGAGGGGAGGGGGCGTCCACATAATGGTATAAAGCGAAGACCAGCTTGGCATTTTGAACACTACTAGAATTCAAGCCCGTGAGAAAAAAGGCTTTTAAAAAGAGATTAGAGGAACCCTGTTTCAAGCCACATTTTTCGAAGGCGGCAAGGGCGCGCTAACGGATGGAAAATTTTTCTACTGCGCTGCTGCTGGGAACTGGAACCTTTTTATCCGCTCCCTCTCCACACGTTTCCTGCCAGGAACCGGAGGGAGGTAGAGGAAGGCTCAGGAACTGACCTGACAAAAAGACATAACTTTTTAGCATCATTTTTATTATTTAAATCTGACAGAGGAAGGAGGTCAAATTCTTCACCCAGAAGCTCTATGGGATTCTGTAGAATGAAAAACCGTGTTGATCACCAGGCGGTTAACTCAGGTTCACATAAACCAGTCCCCAAACTTGTTTTGAATTTGCATTGCAACCGCATTAAATTAAATTAAAATAGCCCTCTCCGTATTCGTTTTAAAGAAAAAACAAGGAATTCTGGTATAGGTTGCATTACTTAAAATATTGACTTGTATAGTTGCACGTGGCTTTTCAAATTCTGGTGCTTTAAATGCAGGGGTTGATTCTCTCAAGTTCCTCAACCTGTGGCCCCCAAAATGCAATTCTGAGACTGGCTGAAGATGTTGGTGTTCAAGGACAGTTATTTTGGGCCAGCCCAGTGTCGCAGTGGTTAAGTGTGCGCGCTCTGCTGCTGTGGCCCCAGGGTTCGAAGGTTGGGGAACCCTGGTGCGCACTGATACACCACTTGTCAAGCCATGCTGTGGTGGCGTCCCATATAAAGTAGAGGAAGATGGACACCTGATGTTAGCCCAGGGCCAATCTTCCTCAGCAAAAAAAAAAATAATAATAAAAGAGGATTTGCCATTAGATGTTAGCTCAGGGCTAGTCTTCCTCACACACACACACACACACACACACACACGACAGTTATTTTGTGTAAGATTTCACTTTTCAGAAACAAAACAACTTTAAGGGACATAACTTCAGATGTCCTCACTGAAATATTTTTCCAAAAGTTAACAGATTTGAGTTCATACACTCCTTCCTCCCCATTGCCCACCCACTCCTAATGAGGTGTTAAGAAATAGAGAAATAGTGAATGATGGGCCACTGACAGACGAGAAAGGAGAAAAGAGAAAGGAAAATTACAAATTGGAAGAGCAAAATAGAGGGTTGACTAGGCCAATGACATCCAAGTGACACTTTCACGTGCTTCTAGCAATATCTGCAACTACAGAATGAAGCCTCTTTCCTGTCATGGCAATGGTATTTGGAATCAAATTGTTATGGAGAAATTAGGGAGAAAATGGAAAGGAAACTCTGCCCTTAAAATGCCAAGAATAGACCTTTGTATCCAAAATGTATCCAAAAAATAAATTAAAAGGCAATGGTATCTCCACTGGCCTTGAGGGCTGAGAAGGAACTTTTTAATGCTCTTCCCTTGCTTCTTGCAGTGATATGCCCCTGCCCTTACCTTAAGGAAGTTGTTTGTATAATGTATTTTTCGAGTGTGAGTTTTTTCTTTCCCAGTAGCAAAAAAGCTGTCATTTCGTTGGCTCAATGACAAATGGTTTAATGTGTAAATTGTATACATAGACTTTAAAAGGTGCTATGATCCTCCTGATGGATTCAAGGGGGTGGTTTTTGTTTAAATTCCCGTTTTAAATAGTGTATTTTTTTTCAGTCATCACTAATAAACATTTTCATTGTGAACACTGATATGTACAACTATAGCAAAACATAATTTGAGTAGTCCCCAACTTTTCAATGGGTAGTGTTCCAAAAGTTTGTGAGTAACTTATTTGGAATAGAGAACATTTTCTATTTAATCCATAATGAAGCTGTAATGAAACTGTTCCTTCCTGACCTCCACCTTTCTTCGTTATCTTTGGAAACCTCATTTGTTAAAAACAATTTAGTCAGAATTGAGAAAAGCAAAAAGCAGACAAAACAACAAACAGAACACTTCACAGTCCCTGGGCAATCTAATCTCCCCCATTGGCTACAACTGTCACTCCCTCCTAGGTATCTGCATTTGAATGATCTATAAATTCAATAAACCCCAAACAACTGCACACAATCTTTGAAGCTACCCAAAGGAACAATAATAAAAAATTCAGAGTTGTTTCTCCTTTTCTCTTCCCTTTTCTCCCACAGTTAAGCAGTCATTTATCCTGTGCTTGCACAGCCTAGGCTGCGGCCTCCCTTCTCTCTTCGATGCTCTCCAAGGCCTTCCTTTGGACCATTGCAACGGCCTCTCACTTGGCTTCTTCCTGCATTTTCTTGTCTCTCCCAATCTGACCCCAATCCAATCTATTCTCTCACTAGATCTTCCCTTCTAAAACCTGAATCTGACTCGATCCTTTCTCTACTTAAGTACTTACAGCAATTGCTTGTTAGAAGATAAAGTCTAAATTTCTCAAGATATTACTGCATTGTGGGAAAATTTTTCTGTAAAGGGCCAGATAGTAAATATTTTAGGCTTTGCTAGTCATGTAGACATTGTCATATATTAAAAAAAAAGAAATCCTTTAAAAATGAAAAACCAGGGCCGGCCCCGTGGCTTAGCGGTTAAGTGAGCGCACTCTGCTGCTGGCGGCCCAGGTTTGGGTCCCAGGCGCGCACCGACGCACCGCTTCTCTGGCCACACTGAGGCTGCGTCCCACATACAGCAACTAGAAGGATGTGCAGCTATGACATACAACTATCTACTGGGGCTTTGGGGGAAAAAATAAATAAATAAAATTTAAAAATGAAAAACCGTTCTCAGCTCACAGACCACAAAGAGAGGGCTTGGGGCAAATTTGGCCTGAGGTCCTAGTTTGCTGATCTTTGGCATACAGGACCCTTCACATTTTGGACCTCTCTGGCCTGCTGCCGCAGCTTGCTCCAAGTTTTCTTCTCTTGTAAGACCACTGAACTTGTTAAGTTTTCTGAATACACATTGCTTTTTCCAACCTCCATGATTTAATTCATGCTCTCTCTCTCTCTGAAAGCAATGGCTCCCTTCTCTGCCAGGCAACACCTAGATACACTTTAAGACACATCTGAAAAGTAACTTCTCCACAGTTTTTCTCTATTTCCCCCAAAGACCTCCCTCCCTTCCTTATGATCCTTGTGTTGAATTTGAAGCAGATAGTTTAACATTTTGATTAAGCACTTAGATGAACTTCTGGGTCAGCCAGACCTGGGTTCAAATTCCAGCTCTGTCCTTCCTAGCTTTGTCTTTGGAGAAGTTTGTAGCCCTCCTGAGCTTCAGGTTCCTCCTCTAAAAAATTAGAAAGATTAATTGAAAATAATGATACTGGCTCAAGACAAGGTTGACATGAGGGAAGCCATTGTAGAAAAGAAACCCTATTGTAACTTGGAATGACCTCTGACAAACTAACCCAGCTGGATATGCACCCTCCAGGAGATCTAACTGCTCTGTAGATTTTACGACCCCTGCTCGTGCATGTACTTCCCAGCTGTGATAATATGATAACTTGTTCTTTTGAGTTCCTTAGGAATATGATGACCCCCAAAAAGAGAGTCTATGCTGATAGCCATCATCAGTGAAAACTGAAAGATCTGGTGTGGCACTCCCAGTCTGTAACACCAGAAGGTCAACATTCCTAACCCCCTCCCCTATAACCCACCAGCCTATATAACTGCTGTAAGACTTTGTGCCCCTTAAGATGGTTCTTTTGGACATGAGTTGGCCATCTTCCCTCTTGCTAGCAAGCTGTAATAAAAAGTCCTTTTTCTCCTACCACCTTGCCTCTTGACTATTGGCATGTCTTGTGGCAAACAGAAGACCCCCCCCTTTGGGCGGTAACAATTAGATAATAAAATCAAACATGTAAAGCGCTTAAAGCATGGGCCCAGAATGAATATTCATTAAAGGTTAGCTTTTATTATTCAGTCATTTAGTCATTCACCAAATATTTATTGAGCACTTGCAATGGGCTAGGCAATGTGCTAGGTACTGTCAGGGATAGATCAATCCATAAGATGGGTAAGATTTTGGTCTTCATGGACATTACAACAAGAAAGTAAAACAGATAAATACCCAGATAGTAATTAGTGCTGGGAAAGAAATGTAAAGGGCATAAGGCCTGACATATATAATCAAAAATCTACTGGAAGTATAATGAATTAAATCCCAAATTTAATTTAAGTCTAACCAGACTTAGACATGTCTTCTAAGCTCTTTGGGCCTTCCTTAACTACAAAATAAGGATTAGGTTTCTAAACTCCCTTCCAACTCCTAATTCTATATGTAATATCTCACAATCAGTTCTCGTATTCTCCACCTTCCTGCCCAAACTATCAATGTTAGAAGAATTTTAGAGCTACAAGCTATCCTCCTAAGGTTCCTGTTAGGGACTAAAGTGTGCCCCACCCCCCGTTCATATGTTGAAGCCCTAACCCCCCAATATAACTATATTTGGAGATAGGACTTTTAAGGATGTAATTAAGGTTAAATGAGGTCATAAGGGTGGAGCTCTAATTTAATAGTCCTTGTAAGAAGAGGAAGAGACACCAGAGAGCTCCCTCCCCCCACCAAGGCATCCATTTACAAGCCAGGAAGAAAACTCTCATGCAAAACCAAACCTGACAGCATCTTGATCTTGGACTTCCAGCCTCTAGAACTGTGAGAAAGTAAATTTCTGTTGTTTAAGCCATCTAATCTTTGGTATTTTCTTATGGCAGCCCAAACAGACTAATAAAGTTCCTCAGCCTCTACCCACTCTATGTGTCTCAGGATCCCCAAGAATTTACCAGAAGTTCG